ACTTCAAACTTCAAACTTCTATGGTTTTATTGAGTCACGCGGAACGGCATCTCGGGCTCGGGCGCTCCGCACATATTTTATATATTTTTTAAAATAACGACAATCGGACAACGTCCTATCCATGACCATATGTTCATACATTGTATCATACATACTTGCCATTTTTGAAATAAATAATATTATCCCTATTCACGAATCTATGATCCATCTCAATGACCTATTTTTTTTATACCACTGTAAATACATCATTCATATTAACCGGACAACGTCCTATCCTTGAATCCATGATCCATCTCAATGTCAATTTTTTTTAATACCACTGTAAATTCATCATTCATATTAACCGGACAACGTCCTATCCATGAATCCATGATCCATCTCAATGACTATTTTTTTTTATACCACTGTAATTACATCATTCATATTTACTATTTCGAGCAGTTCCGTGATGGTACAATTGTAGAACGAATACGTAAATAAATATATATAAAGTTTTGATCGAGAGATCTAAGAACATTTTGATACTGTTTTTTTTTTTAAACATAGTAAAAATAATGGGGTATGATAACCTACTGTTTCAAAAACAAAAAGGACAATATGATGAAATAGCCCTTCTATATTGCACCTCAGAACCTGCAGGACGAACCCAAAGTAAACATTGAGCGGAAAAGTGTGTATTTATATATATATAAATTTTATGCGTTACTATATTTATAAATATATAATAATGTGCCGTACATGGTTCACAACTTCATAAATATATTTTACATACATAGCTATTCAATACACTATTCACCAGGAAACCATATACAGTATCGACATACTCTCGTCTCAACGAAGCACAGCTCACACTCCACGCCCATCACAAGTTCACAATGGTTTTTCACAACTGCTCATGTAAGGTGGGGCCATCTCTGCTGGCCTGCGACATGTCCGACATGGCCAATGAAGCCAAGCGCGTGGTAGACGCAGGCGCCGACTATTTGCATCTGGATGTCATGGACGGGCATTTTGTACCGAATATCACTTTCGGAGCTCCCGTGATCAAATGTTTGCGCAGGCACACGAAGGCATTCTTCGACTGTCACATGATGGTCAGCAAACCCGAACAGTGGGTGCAGGACATAGCCGATGCCGGGGGGGATCAGTTCACATTCCACTTTGAAAGCACAGAGAACCCTGAAGCGCTTATCCAGCAGATCAAAGACGCTGGTATGAAGGTTGGTGTGGCTGTAAAGCCAAACACGGATATAAAGCTCATCGACAACATAGTAGACAAGTGTGACACGGTGCTGATCATGACTGTGGAGCCTGGATTCGGCGGACAGAGCTTCATGCCCGACATGATGGATAAAGTGGAGTATTTGCGTAGCAGTAAGCCTGAGATGGACATTGGCCTGGATGGGGGTCTGGGGCCTAAGACGATAGACGTGGCGGCCAAAGCGGGGGCTAATATGATTGTTGCGGGCAGCGCGGTATTCAACTCAGATCCGCGTGAGGTGATACAGATCATACGGGACAGTGTCGAGAAGTATGGCAATGGCAAAGGGCAAACGAGTGCTTAGCATTCCTTTTGGGTTCTGTTAATGGTCAGAAAGAATATATATTTATATATATATATATATGTGTGTGTGTAGTGGTAGTTGTGTGCAATAAACTAATTGTGTAAACTAAGATTTGACTAGATGTGTGCTTCCACGGATTCGTTGCCTTATTTTGGGAACCCTTATTATATTTATATATATATTACATATATATATATACTATAGCTAATTGTCTGTACGTAACGCTTGATTCTTAAACAGTTCAGGGCGCATATAGTTGTAGCTTGCAGACGAGCTAAACTTCGACCTTATGCAGGTAAGATATTACTTGTTCGCTACCAACAGTATGAATAGTTCAGATATCACATCTCCGTAAATAGCTCAGGTACTTATCTTCTATCAACTGCTTAAATAGCTCAGGTATTCCTTATCCGCTATCAACTGTATATATAGCTCAGGTATTAGGCTAAAACAATCCAAGTATCGCTTGTCTTCTATTGCAGTATACATACTCTTAGACGTGGCAGAATTAAATATCATCTCAGCGTGGTTGCATACTACCGCGTGCTGTCAGCAAGTCAACAAACCTGATAGCGACTCCAATTCTAGATCAATAATGTTATAGATATATAACCAGCACCATTCACACACCAGAGTATACACTGTGCTGCCTGGAAATGGCTATGATTCTTTAAGGCGCATATGTTATGGGAATACCATACTGGCGAAAAAGAATAAGAAGTATCGAACGATCGCAGCATGTGCTAATGCTCGACTGATACTAACTACACATGGAATTCAGTGTAAACTCATCGATAGACATAAATCAACGTTAGTCCCAGGAATCATACATATACACATACATTACATACAATATCTACGTGTAAAATATATTACGTAACATACATAACATACCACACAAAATATATGCTATACAGACTATAATACATAACATACACACAATATATATATATATATATATATATATGATATATATATATATATATATATATATACTACTATATATATATATATATATATATATATATATATATATATAATGTATGTATGTATATATATATATATATTAAACGTAACATAATACATAACATATCACACAATATGCACAATACATGAATCATACATGTGGATACAAGGAAAAATCCTAAAGGCTATTCGATGCCCATCACCCTCGTACACAGTGACATGCGTGGTTATTCCGAGCTATACATCACATTTCAAAAAACACCGCTTCGTCCTCACACACAGTAATATACATGGCGTCCATTAGCAACTCGGCACCAATGAATTTCGGCGCGTTGCGATTCCAACTGGAGAACCGTAGCTTGTTGTTTGCCAAAAGTACAACAGGTATTGCGATAAAGTATACGAAGTAGTAAAATATTGAATATACCATATCCGCACGTTAACGATGTAGCTGCAATGGATGTGTACAAGTATTATGAGCACATGAACATCCACCCCAACTCCATGTCAAGTAACAAAATACAAGTGGTAATGAATGCTATGTATGTATCTATTTGCACTACATGTTTTAATAAACAACCCCTATAAAGGTGCCCCAACGACACCAAATACACAATACATAGCCGTGTCAATTTAAAGGCTATGCATCATACAAACTATTACATCTTAGTTAGTGTCTAGGACACGTTCCCACTAACTATTGGCTGAGTAGATGCGAGCCATACAAAATGAATATTATTTTAGTTTTGCGTTTAGGGTTTTAATTGGATCCCTAAAACCCTATATTTCGTATATAAAGTATCATATTTAGATTATAGCGAGTGTGTAGGTCTCTTCTCTTGTGTGTGTGGTTGTATGTAGTCATGTAGCGAGTACATATTTACATACCTAATAAAGCAGAGGGATATATGATAAATATGTCCCCAAACAATTGCCTTTTTCCATCTGCGCGACGATCCTCAGATAAAGAAATAGTCCAAGAGACCTCGGTGTCACTTGATCCACACTTCCACTAATGGCTATTGCGTTTCATACATATCATACATACACGCCCTCTATCCAATAGCTTGCTTCTGTTGATTTGAGATTTTTTCGAGATGAGGGAGACCTCGTTTGTCAACAGCCTGATCTTCTCAGCACCACGACCAGCATCATATGACGAAAATAGGTTAGGAAAACACAGAGGTGATTAGGTATAAAGTGTTCAGGTATATATAATATATATATATATATATATATATATATATATATAATAATTATACTACTACTACTATAATAATAATATATACTATACTAT